AAATGCGAAGATCTACACAGACTAGGTTTTGATTTGGGAGTAAAAAAAAGAAGAGCTTTCAACTAGCTTTTTAAAAAGACAAAAGCCGCTGGATATATAAGGGTATATAAATGTGAATTCCAAGTAAAAACCACCTCAGAAGAGGTAAGCCAGCAAAGTGTACCTACGGACTACAGTAAGTAGAAATCAGTTAGCAAATCCAGTTAGTAAACAAGGGACAGGAGAAAAATCTTCACAGAAAAGCCTGCATGTAATCTAGACATTATTAAAAAGCCCCCAAACTTTCTGAATGCTAATGTACCATCCCATCCGCTGCACACAGAATGCTGCTCTTGAGAAACTTAAGGAATCAGTTTTAGTCTTCATCTTCAGGTGACAAAAATGTAAGGTTAGAACTAGGTTGTCTACATAGGCTACCAAGGAGGGAGGGTATAGGAACAATTTTCTTAAAACAGAATGGCAAAAATAAGACTGCCGATTTATATACCATCAATCTCAATTAAAAACTGAGCTTTGGTATGTTCAGAAAGAGGGGAGAAAGACTGAGTTCCTATTTCACAGTGAAAAACATATTAATGGGAAGTAAACAGGTAACACTTATTTCTGTTGCCAAAAGATAGTGCAAATCCTTCCCTAACAACAGTGGCATTTTCTCAACTGTCAATTTACGATTTGCCAGTGCAATCCAAATCCAAGATTTGGTGGTTGGATGCTCACATTTCTTCTGAGAAAAATGGAGTAGATCAAAGTCCAAGACAAGATGTAAACATATCAATACTTGTTTAACAAACCCAATTTTCAGGCAAATGTGAACCAACCAACAAATTTAACTGTAAAAAGCCCCCATAGCAATTGCTTCATGCTAATGCAGGATGATGAGAATACTGTGCAGAGTTTTTTTCAAAAGCTTGAAGGTGGCAGCTGCAAAAACGATGCAAAAATATGCAAGAATGGGTTCTCAAAGGTCATCTAAGGATTCGATTAGGGAGACTAAGAGTAAATCATTTATAATGAGGAGTGACATTAGCTAAGATATCACATACCACATAAGGCAAAGTTACAAGCCAGGGAATGTCCACGTCGGTGTCTCAGAAAACAACCAAAAAAAGACTCCTAGATTAAAATAAAAGGTTTGTTATGCCCTGGTGAACCTTTCCCCACAAAACCCCCCAACAATCTCTGTGTTTTCTTGGTTATTAGTCATAGCCTTTGAGATGGATCCACTAGAAAATACCACCATAAAGGATGACTTGTCTGTGCCAAGTTAATCCTTCCTTGACATGGCGTAGCCCCAGATGTAACACCTAACAAATGGGATGTAATTTGACAGGCCTACTTTCAACAGTGTCTTGAACTTACACCTATCACTAGGTTGGGTAGAAAACAATGTTCATGTAATGACAGATTTAGCAGATAAGACTGCAGTCAGATGTGGGTCTGTGTGCAGCGTTGTTAAGGTGCAGCCTGACACCGGGGATGGATGGGCTGCCATGAGCTGACACCCTGTTTAGGAAAAAAAAACCAAAGTTGGGAACATCTACAGGTTAGAACCTGATGGAGAGGAGTGGAGAAACTCTGTTCTTGGAAGAAGGTGATCTGTGTTGGGTAATATTCATCTTACCTGGTTTTAGACCTCTGCAGCGTGTGTGTTATAAGTTACCATTTCAGAAGTGGCAGGAAGCAGTGACATACTTAAAAAGTGTAAAACACCAAGTGAGTGTACACAAAATGTGGTATAACTAACACATTCTAGACTTGTGCCTTAGTTTTCACACAAATTGTAGAGCACAACGGACCCTGCTCTGTACCACACTTCCCTCCCCATCCTCTCCTCTCCCCTCCTCTTCAGCTGGGACACACGCTGTGCTTCCCTCACCCCAACCTCCAGCTATGGCACTGCTAGTGCCTCTACCCAGCAACATGCCAGCACAGAGCTAATGTAGATGGGGTTTTGGGGAACCAGTGGCTCCAGGAGGGAGATATGCTGAGAATAGGGCATCCCATACCCGAACAGAAACACAAAATTCTTCTTCCTAGCTCCCACGCGGTGGCGAAACCAGGGAAAAAAGATTCTACCTTTCCCAAAGTCACAGCATGCAAGAGACTACCTCTTCCCCACAAATGACCCACTGGCCCCTTTTCCAGGAGACTTAATAATATTGTGACTTAAGTACTTTAATACGCCTGTTAACAATGTTAAAAGATTCCCCTGACATCAGTCACTGCTGAAGGATGGTGACTCACTGCTGCAGAAGAACACCATGAGAACACATTCCACCAAGCATCCTCCCTTAAGGAAGACTGTTTCTTATAAATAGCGCTAAGCCGCAGAAATAGATACAATTGTCAGGCGAAAAATGGAATTACTGAAAAAACAGTCTAAGACCACCCTAAAACATTCCTGAAAGGAAATACTCTGATATTTCCATGTTTTAGTTTATACCTTTGTCCAGTTCTGTAAACTGGGGCTAAAGAGGGTTAAAAAGCTTGAAACAAAAGTGCTTCACTTGATCCATTTTTTTTTTTTTTTACCTTTTCCATGTTATTGGCAGCAACAGCGATGTGAGGAACTGCTGTTCTTCCTCCACAAGTAAGTGCAGCTCAGAGAGGGCTGCCTGACTTTCTACTAGTGTAAATATGGACATACCAGATCCTTGTGCAGAGTCTGTATCGTTCTAATTGCAGAGCACTGCACACAGACTTACAGTAAGTTCTGTTAATAAAGTTATTAGAATCACTATGGTCCATGCCATAAAGAGCTTAGATTTGGGGATGGAGGTCCCTCTGCCTATGAAAGTTTACACCCTCTATTTAACAACAGCCCATCTTCCTTCATATAGCTGTTTTGAGCAGAACTGTATTAGCACTGTGGCCATTTAATAAACCATTTTCCCATGTCTTCTTGAAATTAAGACAATCATATTTTTATGATGGTCATCATTTACCCATTCTTTCTACTCATTTTATAGGAAATCATTTTGTAGATTTTATAAGAATCAGCTCAACATTCAGGATCCACCTTTCATACAGGCACACTCAGTTGTGTCTGCCAGCTTCAGTTCCAACTGGATATTTGCTGCATGAGTTACTGAGAGATATCTGAGCTGAAGACCAACATGACTTTTTAGACTTCTGCCAAGCTGTACTGTATTTTTTGTGCTTTATCTTGCCCTCTATGTCCCCCTTTGACAATACGCAGTTGCTGTTTCTGTGCTGTGTCCCAGTTTATATTAAGTTACATGTGCAATGCATAGACATCCATTCAATAAGGTTACTAAAATAGGAAGCCTCTCCCTATTAAAATATTTAAAAAGCATCTATACGAACAGTAGCTAGTTATCAAATGAGGTGGATATGACTCCCAATAAGCTTGTCTTACTGCCTTGTTTTCTTAAAGCTAAGAATAGTATTACCAAAATGTCTAAACATCTCCTTTGGAAAAGAACAATATAAATAAAATTCCCAGTAGAGGTGAAGGAGCCAAATTTGCATCTGTACACACACAGTATATTTACCTGTACAGCTTTTGTTGTTAATGTTTTTGCTTTTTTAATGATTGGTACTTTCAAAGCATTCTCTGCTTGAAGGATATTTTTTGTAAGGAACATTTAGATTGGGGGTTGAAGATTACTGTTCTATTCTTTCAGTGAAATTAACTCAATTTCTTCAAAGAAAGCTTTTGAAGTGTTTCTTATATATGGTGGAAGTACAGATTGACAGCACAATGATCCTCTTCAGTATTCTCATGATCAGCAGCTGTTAACCTATTTTTATCAACAACTTCATTACCCCAAGAAACGCTTTTGCAAAATGTGAATGCTGCTGGTGAGATCATTCCACATGAGCAGACTTCTCCTTATGAATTTTTACAAGCAGGTTCCAAAAATCTCACTTCAAGAAGTAACCAACTGCCAAGCCATCCTCCTCCAACACACAGCGCCACCTCTTCTTTCCACTTACGTTCCAGGTAAGCACAACCCACAACCCCATAGATGGGCATCTCCCAGACACCTTTATGTCATCCCCCTGGGAGCCTCAGCACCCTCCCTAAGGCCTTTGGTGGGCTCCACAATATCATGGGATGCCACTACTGTATACAGTGCCTGGAATAAGTGCTCAGAACTGGTTTTCCCATGTCAGATGCAATCTCAGGTATCTTCACTTTCAGATTCGGATAGAAAGAATGGTAAGAGCATTTTCTGCCTGCAGCAAATGTGTATATCACAATGTGAAAGAGGAAAGGATGGAGTTTCCAAAGTGGGAGATGGTATTTGGAGCTCTATTGCCCTCTGTGTCTCCAGAAGCATAAGCAAGGAAGATCCTGCCTTGCTACTTGGACTACTTGCATGCTTTAGACATTCATGATCAGGACCTGCTATGAATCAGGTAAGTCGTCATGTTGTATGAACTGTGGGCACAGTGCAAAATTTTCCCCAAGAAATACTAAGGAAGGACCAAAAAATACAGTGAAACTCTATTCTTTCAAGTGTCAGAAGAAGGGGGATGCTTTGGGGCAGCTTCAGACTGAGCACTGAAA